TTTATTGTCAGAAGGTTTGAGCGTAGTCTGAACAAGCATAACGCAGCCTCCCGTCTTGTCTGGCCCTAGCAGAAGTCTGGTAAACAGGGGAATTGTAGCTGCTTATATACACTGTAAATGATTATGTAAGCTTAGACTTTGGTTGCATGACTATGCAGAAGTAAACGTATGGCTTCAACGTACAACTGTGATATAACTGTTTTGTAATGGAGCAAACTCCAACGTACACCATCCATACTGCACATGTTCACTGTTTGTTCTGTCTTATCTGTTTCCATGCTTCTGTAAGCAGTTCAAAGTACAAGTGAACTCTTATTGAACTGTTTAACATGACATTTTAGCAGGCAGAAAATAATTAAATATTCACAGTCCCTCTCTTGATCACATACACATGTGATCACAAATCAAAACAAATCAAAAATAAAAACAAACAAAAACAAACTCTATTGGACACACAAGAACTCAGCAGATTCAGTCAAAACACAGACAAAAAACGAGCTGAGTCTCAAATTTGAAGCTAATTTCACTTTTCTTACTCTATACTTTTATTCTAATGTTAATTATTTACACTTCACTTATTTCACTGTATTATTTTCACTATTCAACCTTACACTGTGTACTTTACTTTTACTATTCACTATAGTTTAAAACTATTCCAATCCACCTACAAATATGTTTGTATATTTGCTTCCATTGAGCCACATTCTCAAACATACATTTCAATCTAATAAATCTCTCTATTCTGTGGTTTACTTTCCTTGTCAGTGGCATATTGTTAGTGGGATTTTGCTCTATGTCTACTCTACATTCTCAGGAATAAAACTGTGAACACAGAAAGACAAATGGTTAATATGAACATTATTATGGCAGTCAGTTTTCCAAATACATTTGTTGAACCAGGAAGTGCTGTCACTTCCTCCTATCAGGCAGTTTGGGATGAATGTAAATCATTAATCAAATTAGTATTATCCTTACAAGAGCTAATCTATTTTAGCAGGTTTGGGGTTGGGGGCAGTTATTCTACAATGGTGTTTGATTCTCTAATCTGTGCTGGAAACTTCTCAATATCTAAATGTCTACTTTTTGTTTTTGTGCTATACCCAAATGCATCAAAATGCTTTTAAATGCTTTTGAATCTCTGTTGGTTCTAATCTATCTCATTAATCTAAGCTACATTAATCTAGACTACACTCATATGAACTTTTTGTATTGTCAACATTCACAGATGTGTGAACACAAGTGAATTTGGCAAGTATCTAATAAAACTGTACATAAAACTGTAAGTAACTTTATCTACTTTTGAAGTAAAGGTTTGTGAAATGGTCCCTTTACCATTTGATATTACCAATGGCTAGAAATATTCTCTATTTTTGAAAGCATCTATGGTTGATGCATTTATCTATTCCTATTTTTACTCTATTGTGACTCTAAAGCTCAGTTGCAGCTTGAGTAAAGGCATATTCCTAATTTGTGACTTCTGTCACTTTTAATATCTCTAAAATAACTCTGATTCTAATATTATATCTGCTCTATCAAAAGGATAACATTGTATGGTACTATTTTAACTCTTATGTGGAAATGTGTTTATGAACAACAAAGGAAGGACAATTTTACTTTTTTACTACTATTAAAACGCTACAATACTCATACTTTATCATTTTAAAACATTTTAACTGTTGCTCAGTCTCCCAGACTAAAAAGTCAAAGTTTTGTCTGTCAGATGTCTGAATACTTAACATGTATATTGCATTTGGTCACAGGTTCTGGTTGTAGCAATAGCATCGGCAATAGGCGTTTTTCATTGGCTGGTTCTTGTTCTGCAAATGTCTGTGTCCAATAGATCATCAGATGTCCAGAAGCTAAGAACAAACAAAAACAAAAGAAAGAATCATGAGTATCTGTCTCATTTAGCACTCATCAATGTATGATTTCAATAATATAAACATCACTCCCCAGTTTTCTCTCTCAGATCCTCAGGTCCTCAGGGTCCCCTGAGGGTGAGTCTCAGTCGTCATCAGGTTCATATTTCGAGAGATGTCATCTTGGACATCAGTAGGGTCCAAGCCATGGTTTTGGTCTCTCCAGATGCACATCAGGATCTCCAGATACACTCTTTTCACTTGAAGCGCACATCAGGTCATTTGCGATGCACTTCTGGTCAATGGTGCAGTGTCTCAGTTCCTGTACACAGCTTGTTATGCAATAGTTACTCTCTATGGTTAAGTCACTTTTGATTCTACTTTAAAGACAATTTCTATTCATGCTGTTGCTAATGTCCCTTAGACAAAAGCAAGCGCAATGATTCAGTTTACTTCTCTAATTTGTGTTTTTATCAGATCTAATCCTAATAAATGTAATTACTTCACACAGTACAAAATCAAAACATAAAAAGTGTCAGGACAGACGTCAATTAAGTCCATGACAATATAGAATTCAAATGAACATTTCTGGTCTCAAAAAATACTGATTCAACTAAAGATTCAAGTGATAGACAATTAAAAATATGTGTTTACATTGGAGTAAACTTTTAAAATGCTTTTTTCTCATGTTCTGCTTTTTCATGTATCTATATGTAAATGTGAATGTGTGAGTGTGTGAATGTATGTGTGTGTAGATGTATGTGTGTGTAGATGTATGTATGTATGAATTTTGGGGTTGCCTCCAGACTCCTCGGCCCACCTGTAGGTCTCAAAGGTCACACTGTGGTGATGTAAACCAACTGGACACACTTCCAGATTGCAAAACAACTCACCCACCACTGCCTACAGAAAACCTCACTTTGTGGCCCCGGTCTCACTGCCACCTACGACCATCGGTCTGTAGTGGGGGAGGGGCACACGGAGGTAGCTATGTCGCCTTTACGATCTGCGGCTGGTTGGATGGTGTCTACTCTGGGCCACTGTTCTGATCCCTCAGTGTCCACTCCAGCTGTCCAGTGGCCCTGTACAGTGTGTGCCCTTGGTTCTGGAACACAACCTTATAGTCAAATTAAAAACAACAGAGATTGTGAATGAGATTGTTTTTCTCTCTAAAGTCAAAACAATTTTGGAGCGCTCTTGGCTTTCCAAGCGCTATGTAAATATAGATTACTTATTATCTTACTACTGATAACATTTTTAAGACCAGAAACGCTTAATAAAAAACAAGACTCAAATCTCAAAAACCTTTAAACTTTAAAATATGTATTATGTACTTTTGTACTGTGTGTTTTTAATTATCTATGCGTCCTTGGGTTTCATTTTATGGACTTTCCCTTTTACACTTGAACATTTGTCTCAGCATATATTCTACTAATTTAAAATAATTGCAGCATTTTCAAATGAAGTCAATATGAATTGGAGCACATTTCAGAGCCAGTCTCCTCTGCTGTGTAAACAAAAGTCACCACTTGAATGTGAATTGGGTGAAGTTTAACTTAATAATATAATACTTTTACAGCTAATCCTAATTCCCTCTTTCTTTTTAGACGAAGTCTATAATCAATAATAACTTTTAACACAGATTACAATTTAAATGTTTGAAAAACGGCTTTTGTAACTAAAATAAAAACATAAAAACAAACACAACTCACAAACAGTTAAGAAATAAGCAGCAGATTTAAAAGAATGGAATCTAGAAATATGTTAGATCTAAAAAGAATTGCACAGCTTTAGCACTAATATTTGGGTTTCAAAAACATACTAATTCAAAACTTCTTTTTACTAAATGGTGTTTAAAAACGTTTAACTGTGTCATAACACAATGTTCAAATGGCAAATTTTGCAAATTTAACGGAAAAACAACTATGAAAAGCCAAAATCCTACAAGCAGTAGGTCCCCTTTAAATCAGAGCAGAAGAGCAGAGAGAAAACAGAGCCGCGAGGGTGGGGGCGGTTACCCTGGCAACGCAGCATGAGAGAGAGAGACTCATGCACAGACATACAGACATACAGCAGTAAGAATTCCTTATCAGAATAACTTTCAAGATTACTTTTAAGCAAATATAACTGATGTTGTAGTTTATACTTTTGTCATCCAAGTCTAGAAATGGCCAATTTCCACACTTGTAACAAAAGGCACTCTTGTCTTTAACGTTTACGCTTCTATTTTATCGAGGTAGCAAACTAGTTTAAACTCAAAATCTCTTTCTAAAAAACAAAAACAACTGTTGGATACAAACTAAAAAACAAAAAAACTCCCTTTTTCTCTCTGTAATTTAAACCGTGATCACTGAAAATATTGTTGCTTCTTTACTTTTGTCATTTATCAGCCTGAAATTCGTCAATTTCAAAGCTTTTGTAACAAAGGCCTCCTAACACGTTTCCCTTTTTATTAAATTGCTTTTACTTTTATACCATGGTTTCACTAAGTATCCTACACTTTATCTTCTTCTCAAAGGGATTCTAACCCCGAGACTTCTTCAAATACAATTTAGAGAGTTTGACAGACCCCAAAAAACAGACCAAAATTTAGCTAATATCCAATTATACAGACTTTCTATATAAAAAGGTGTCTGCTTACCTTATTCTTGTCAAACTGGTTCCAAGGACTGTCCGAGAGGTCTGCCAACCTCTTTTCCGCGTCTGAATATTCAATTTAAAAAAACAAAAGTGACAGAGCGACAAGAAGCATGCAGGAACAGCTCTCCCAGCCTGCTGGAATCTCCTGTTCCCAGACACAGCATGCCGATCTCTCACGCAGAGGAAAGGAAAGATAACACACAGGACTTATTTGGGTAATGGTTAATGGTTAACTTTTATCGCAGCTCCTGCACACAGGACCACTTATTTGGTTAATGATTAACTTTATCGCCGCTGCCTGCTTTTTATCTGAAAACAGGGCAGAAGCCACCGCTTGGCCTCCAGGCCCCGGTACAACCTCCTCCTTTTGGAATGATTGGCCCCTTCAACATTATGGGACCTTAAGCTTCTGTCTAACAGGTCACAGACGAACCAGTAAGGATTTTGTTGCTGATCCCAGTTACTGGCTGGTCTGTGTTTACCGTCTCACCATTAATATATTCATAAAACTATAACCAGAGAAATGATCGCATCAGTGAGCTGCTCTTTCTCTGTTACAGGCACAGATCACATTAAGTTACTCACTGTGTCTTTGTGGGAAGCATTAGTTTGTTACCCCTTGGTTCATGTAAAGGGGAGCCCTTTGCTCAACCGAGCTAGTTTTCATTTACATACAAGCCTATCGAGTATAGTACACAGTTCTGTTAACGTGTTGAATATGACAGAATCAGACCGAACAAGATTATTTGGGTTAAAACCTTGTCGGGTCTGGTTCTTGTTTGGGCAGTAATAGGTGCTGTCCACCTGTCGGAGTGCCATTAGTTTAATGGATGGTCACGCTCAAGGCCATTCACAGTGTCTGTACTGTGTCAGTACCTGTGTCGGTACCTGTGTCGGTACCTGTGTCAGTATGTGTCGGTACCTGTTTCAGTACCTGTGTCGGTACCTGTGTCGGTACCTGTGTCGGTACCTGTGTCGGTACCTGTGTCGGTACCTGTGTCGGTACCTGTGTCAGTACCTGTGGCTGCGTGGAAGCCCTGCACCAGTTTGCTGGAGTTGTCGGTGAAGAATCTCTGGCGATACATGATTCGAACGTCTGCGTGGAGTGCTCTGTTCAGAACGTCACTGGAGTCACTCATGAGGAGAGAAAAGCCGTCTGCTGCCTCTGAACCCAGGTCTGGATCGTCCAGCAGAGAGAAGAGCTGTGGGAACACATGAAAGCATTAATATACTAAATACTTCATAGTTACATCTGAGCAGAAAACATGTATCCACCTTGTCTGTCAGAGTGGCGGACAGGGGGTGGTATCTGAGGAGAAGAGCCTTGGCCACCTGTTGATTAAAAGAACCATAAAAAGTACAAACTCTGAAAAGTTCAGACGCATGAAGCTGACATCGTACCCAGATCATGAGGGTGAAGGCCTGGGAGCGCACACCGGACTTGGGATTGTCCAGCTCAGAGCAGACCCTCTTCACGGTCCTCTGGACCAGACTGTCCAGAGCTTCACCTGTGGGGACATTTTACATTATGAAAGGCCTTTAAGAACTGAACTGAACTGAACTGAACTGAGTATTAGTAGATATTCTACAATCAAAAATAACAAGAGGCCATAATTATCAAATTTTTATTTATTTTTTAAACCTGCATGTAACATTCTAATCAAATCAACTAAATTGTTGACTATTTTTGAAAGTGCTTGTTTTTGTGTGTTTTACATTTGTTATTTTTCTTGCTATTGTCTATCTGTAAATGTTTCTGCAGTAAAGTGTTCATGGTTTTACACTGATCCAGACCAGAGCAGAGAGGATGGTCCCAAAAAAGAGGATCAAGCAGAAATCTACTGGAGAAATGACATTCCTTTTTTTAATGCGTTTAAAGCATTCCGAATTTCACTCTGAACCAGAGCAGAGAAAATGGTCTGAAGCAAAACGAAGCAGCTCACCTCCTGCTGCTGGGACCTAAAGTTTTAATTTACTATTGTTAATTTATGTGTTTGTTTAAATGGATGCGTTTCTGCTGGATCAATACATTTTCTAACTGCGTTTGGTTTGTTGTGAAGCTGCGTGTCCCAGACTGACCCGGTGTCCTCTTGTTGACCAGTCCAGCGTAACATTTTGCCGCAGAGGTGTAGGACAGAGTGTGAGAGGAGGAGAGGCTCAGCTCCTCCAGAGCAGACAGCAGCTCATCCTGGTGCGGCACTTCCACCTGCACCACACGACACACACATGGTACACAACATTACACACTGCACCGTACATACACAACTGTTGTAATGTCCCACACACTGGAAATTGCAGATCTGCAAAAATGCCTCATTTCTGGTCAAACAAAGATAAACAGACGTGTCCGCTTTCCCGGCCTCAGAGGTAGAAGTGCGCAACAGCGCCCCCGGCTCGAGAGGTAGAAATGCGGGAATGCGTTCCCGGCCTCAAAGGGTTAAACCCGGGTCTCTCTGGACCTGAGGACGAGTCTCCAGTCTTAAAGCCTGGACTCCCTGGACCTGAGGACGAGTCTCCAGTCTTAAAGCCTGGACTCCCTGGACCTGAGGACGAGTCTCCAGTCTTAAAGCCTGGACTCCCTGGACCTGAGGAGGAGTCTCCAGTCTTAAAGCCTGGACTCTCTGGACCTGAGGACGAGTCTCCAGTCTTAAAGCCTGGACTCCCTGGACCTGAGGAGGAGTCTCCAGTCTTAAAGCCTGGACTCTCTGGACCTGAGGACGAGTCTCCAGTCTTAAAGCCTGGACTCCCTGGACCTGAGGACCTCTCTGTGACGCCCCTCTAGACGACTGTTGTTGTGATTTTGTGCCAAACAAATAAAACTGATTTGCTTCTTGAACATGAAGAGTGTGACACTTACCGCGCGTGGAACAGCGCACACGCAGCCCATGAGCAGACACACCATCTGGGACTGTCGCCAGCAGTCGCCCTGAGGATAAGATAAAATTAACTTTATTGATCTCACAACAGAGAGATTTACAAACCAAGCTTTATTAAAACTCCCAGAGCAGCAGATTTTTGGCATCTATCTCATTATAAAACTAACTATTTTCATGTTGCTTGGTAACCAACCAAATTTAAGGTCCAAGACTGGTCCTAGACTGGTCCTAGACTGGTCCTTGTTCTGAGCTGAGTTAGCTTGGTGTTTCACACTGTTTACTAATCAGAAGTTAGCATTTGGTCATTAATATGAACTGTTTTTGCTGTTACACAGGTTTGGCACTTAATAAAAGTGAGTAAAGGGAAAAGAATTCTAATAAATTCTTACTTTTAATAATGTGGAGGAAAACTATGCACTTTTGGGTACACAAATTCTCAAAATTCAATTACTTTGAAAGGGAGCAGTCAAAATGATGGCTCTGGTAGTTCTAGTAATAATAATAATGATAATAATAATAGTTCTGGGAGTCCTCGTCAGAAGGCCAGAGTCCCTGGAGTTAGAGTTAGTGTTGAGTACAAACCTTAAGCAGCTGAATCTGTGAAGGAAACGAGTTGTCTGGTAAAAACGAGACATCGCCGTTCAAGAAGAGAGACACTGCTTTGGACGCCGTTTCTTCTGCGAACCTGGAAGCACAACAAGATGTGATGAGTTCTATTCAGGAGAGGACCGTCACTGCTGCGTTGGAGTTTCACCCACTTTGGCTGAAGTCTGGAACAGGAAGAGTTGATGACAGGAACCATGGCAGTAAGAACGCTCTCCTCCAGCAAAGGACTGGGCCTGGGCACATCTGCAGCTGCATCAACCAAACAGTTAGATGTAAACAAGGACATCAGGAGGAATGAATGCTTGTGCACAGACTGATGTAGAGTAGAAACATAGGAGACCTTGGAGAGCGGCCTGTAGCGCCAGGGAGAGCAGGCGAGGGATGATGAGATGGTGGAAGCAGCGGCCGGTCTCCTCTGTCTCCTCTGAGACCTGGACCTGGTCTGCGATCCTCTGGAGACCGTGGCACGCCAACACCACGTCCTCCATCGTGAACTGGACACTGCCTGCACACAAACACAAAGCCTGGGTTCATCCCGGTCTCCTTCATCTGTGTCGGACTGGGCTGCGCCCCCTCCTCGCCTGGGAGCTGCCTCAGTCCTGCCTCAATGTGGGCTTTTCTCCAAATGGGTTTTTAGAGTTATTCATTGCCGATGCAGGACGGTCCAAAGACAGAGATGATGATCCAGGACACTCCACATTAAAAAACCTTTATGGACTTTGGTCGTCTGCCTCTAATGAACCAAAGTGTTTATTATCATTACCTTTCGTGTGTTAAAACTGTCTGATTCTCTGATTTGAGTTGGCGAATTGACAGCTTTGTAAAGTCCTCCGAGATAACCACTATTCTACAATTGAATCTAAGTTATGGAGCTTACAGTCCACAACAAAACCAAAGCTGTAGATTTCTAAACATAAATATCCTTCTGCTGCAGGAATTAGTCTCACCAACGTTTCTCCAAAGAGAGCGGCAGTGTAAGTATAAGACAAGTAAGAATGGATTCATAAAGTTTAACATTTTCCACATTGATTTCATCCAATGTTTTTTTTTAATTTTGAGTTGATTCAAGATTTTAATTATACAATGCAATAAATCCCAAATCATTATTATTTTTGTGGCATTAGTTTCCTGCACAACGGTCCCATGTTTAAAATTATATCATTGGAAATTTGTTGTAACCCTTTGCATGTATTTTAGTGATTTCACCTGTACAAAATAAAAGAGATGATAGTAACTCATAAGGATAAACACGGCTCTTTTAATGGCTCCTGGACTGATTTTCAATTATGATGAATGGTCTGTTATACCTCATGTCAGAGCTTATATCAAATAGTATAATTAAAAATATAAATACCAAGTTACCGGTGTGAGCAGCAGAGATGAGCTCCAGCAGGACAGGGGTGCTCTGCTGAACCACACTGGGCCCACGACTCACCGACGCCAGGGCAGCCACACAGCGCCCACAGAGGCTCTGATGAGAAGGCCCCTGAGAGGCCTCCGGGACGTCTGCATCCAGGGGCACTGGAATCAACAGGAGCGTCAACAGGAGCGTCAACAGGAGCGTCAACAGGAGCGTCAACAGGAGCGTCAACAGTAGCGTCAACAGGAGCGTCAACAGGAGCGTCAACAGGAGCGTCAACAGGAGCGTCAACAGGAGCGTCAACAGGAGCGTCAAAAGGAGCATCAACAGGAGCGTCAACAGGAGCATCAACAGGAGCGTCAACAGGAGCGTCAACAGGAGCGTCAACAGGAGCGTCAACAGGAGCGTCAACAGGAGCGTCAACAAGAGCGTCAACAGGAGCGTCAACAGGAGCGTCAACAGGAGCATCAACAAGAGCGTCAACAAGAGCGTCAACACGAGCGTCAACAGGAGCGTCAACAGGAGCATCAACAGGAGCGTCAACAGGAGCATCAACAGGAGCGTCAACAGGAGCGTCAACAGGAGCATCAACAGGAGCGTCAACAGAGGAGCATCAACAGGAGCATCAACAGGAGCATCAACAGGAGCGTCAACAGAGGAGCATCAACAGGAGCGTCAACAGGAGCGTCAACAGGAGCGTCAACAGGAGCGTCAACAGAGGAGCATCAACAGGAGCATCAACAGGAGCATCAACAGGAGCATCAACAGGAGCGTCAACAGAGGAGCGTCAACAGGGAGCATCAACAGGAGCGTCAACAGAGGAGCGTCAACAGGAGCGTCAACAGGAGCATCAACAGGAGCGTCAACAGGAGCGTCAACAGGAGCGTCAACAGGAGCGTCAACAGGAGCATCAACAGGAGCGTCAACAGGAGCGTCAACAGGAGCGTCAACAGGAGCGTCAACAGGAGCGTCAACAGGAGCGTCAACAAGAGCGTCAACAGGAGCGTCAACAGGAGCGTCAACAGGAGCGTCAACAGGAGCGTCAACAGAAGCGTCAACAGAGGAGCATCAACAGGAGCGTCAACAGGAGCGTCAACAGGAGCGTCAACAGGAGCGTCAACAGGAGCGTCAACAGGAGTATCAACAGGAGCGTCAACAGAGGAGCGTCAACAGGAGCGTCAACAGGAGCGTCAACAGGAGCGTCAACAGGAGCGTCAACAGGAGCGTCAACAGGAGCGTCAACAGGAGCGTCACAGGAGCGTCAACAGGAGCGTCAACAGGAGCGTCAACAGGAGCGTCAACAGGAGCGTCAACTAGGAGCGTCAACAGAGCGTCAACAGGAGCGTCAACAGGAGCGTCAACAGGAGCGTCAACAGGAGCGTCAACAGGAGCGTCAACAGAGGAGCATCAACAGGAGCGTCAACAGGAGCGTCAACAGGAGCGTCAACAGGAGCGTCAACAGGAGCGTCAACAGGAGCGTCAACAGGAGAGCGTCAACAGAAACTTGACGCAGATCGGCGCAAACACACAAACACGCCTCTTATACAGGGAAATAAAAAGGGGAAATAATCATTAACTATTGGTTAGGGCCTGTGAGTGTGAAAAGTGCCGTCCAAACGCCATTACAACAACAACAAAAACCGTCAACAACAACAGACTGACCACAGACACAACTTCAATTCAATTCTCGACAGCAGCCCTCACACACGTAAACATATTACAGACACCAGTGAGACCGCGAGGTAAAGAGGGCTCAAAGGGCCTCTCCCACAAATAATGTCTTTTAACAACCTCAAAAGAGCAGTTCTCACATCTCTGGTTATGTTTTCACGTTAATCAAATCAATGGTAACAGGGATTCAGCCTGGTCTTATATTTACAGTCTATGGTCTTATATTTACAGTCTATGGTCTTATATTTACAGTCTATGGACTTATATTTACAGTCTATGGTCTTATATTTACACACTCAAAAAAATGAATAGCGACTATTGTTAGTTTTACTTAATTATATTAAGTAGAATTTACGTAAAGAAAATGATTTCCTCACGTTTTTCAACACTATTGAGTAAATATAATGAAGTACTCTCAATTAAAATAATAACTCAAGACGGCTGGTTGGTGAAAACGTAATTGTTTTAAGTACAACATTAGGTTTGTCTTTCAGGGCTTGCCGTAACTGCTAGCTCAAATGCACTTTGTTTTAATATTATTTTTTTTATGTTTTAAAATGTATTTTAAAGTGTTTTTACAAACAATAAAACATACAAACGTACATTAAGAAACAAACATAAATAAACGGTGTCCTTATACTGTCCAATGTAATGTTCCTCACATTTGTTAAAAAAATATATATATAAATTATTCATCATACATGTTATTATACAATGTGACAAACATGTAGTACTTGACAAAAACAGACAAGTTCGAGTTATTCTTACTTCTGTGGGACATGATTTCACAAGAAAGGTAATTAAACATTGTACTGTTATCAAACAAATCTTTTCACATTATGAGTTTGATGACAATACATTTTATGTTTGAATGTGCTGTAAAGTATATCAAATAACTTTGAGTTTTTCAAAGAATCTTGTAAAGGTTGCGTATTTATTATGAACAACATTAAAATTATTGGAATTACTCAAGTCTACTGGCCTGGAATTACATGACAACCTTTAATAAAGTGTACCAAGTTTGGTCCCGATTTGTTGCCGTAGCTGACTTCCGCTATACGTCAGGCGCAATACTGTGCCACGCATGCGCACTACACGATTCCACAACGTGGATTGGAGACGTCTGGAGCGCCCGTTTTCTAGCCATCATAAGGTACTTTTATCTACTTTGCATTGATATTTATCATGACATTTCGCTACTAACTAATCAAACTGTCAAAGGTGTATGTATTTATTAGGCTCTTAGCGAACCTTACCAATAATCTGCCGACGTACCGCCATTTTGTTTGTTACTATACTTTACGTAGTTTTCCCTTTCATCAGTCAGAAGACATTTTACATGAGTTGTAAAGAGACTATAGGGCTGCTGCATGTCCGTGGCACTGGCACCGGTGTTTGAACGCGCCTGGAGCAGAGGGACACCGTGTTTGTTCTCGGGTCCGGTTCAAATACTGTGCCCCATGTGCTCTGGGCGGGTTCAAACACAATGGTACTGCTCGCGGTTCTGCTCGCAGTGGTGAGGAATGTGGACGTGGATGTGTAGATGTCGATGAGAGAGCGCTGCCAGGCTTATCGCCATCTTGAGCGGGAAGTTCGTCAACTCGTTTATAATCTATTTCTAATTTGTACGTATTCAATCTAAATGACGTCGCGGTTATCAGTAAATATCTCTTCAGAATTATATTATTGTCTTTCTCCATTATAGGAAAAACGATTTAGGTTCAAATCAAACTTTTTTCCCCATGGGAAAAGCTATAACATTTATAAATTGAGGCCTAAATGGAACAGTGTCAGTTCATAGTTTAATATATAAATTAGTAATATCGGGCTTTGTATCACCCGTAATAAAGTAAAGGTGAAGATCAGTGTGTAATTGTGTGGATATTTAAAAAATAGTCTAACATCATTCTTTTTTTCCCCACAGATCTTTTGGTGTGGCGGTGTAAATTGTGCTGGAGAGTGTTTTCAACCAGAACGCTTTTATTTAAGCACTACAGGTTAGTCCATGGCTCCAGACAACGATATCCATGTGCTTATCCAGATTGTCCTTGTTCTTTTAAAACCTTGAGTACGCTCTTCAGCCATACAAGCAGAGTGCATCCTCTAAAAAACCTGCAAAATTCAATGGCCTAACTTCAGATAAAGATTATTTTTCACATGTCAACACTCATCTGAAGAGTAATGAGACGGTGCATTGCATGTTTAAAGGTTGCTCTTACAAAACAAATGTCCATGGTACTTTTAAGTCCCATAAAACCCGGAAGCACACTCCATACACCTTGAAAGACTTTAAAGCGGGGATTGTGAACACAATCGAAAGCCAAACTTCAGCTTGTACAGATGCGGTTTCTGCAGATGGCAGCAGTGCAGATTGTGATCCTGCAGAAGACAATGACCTAGAGGGTAAAAGCTTGTCTGATATTATAGAGTTGAACTTTGCATCTCTCTTACTGAAACTCGAGAACTACTATCATGTTCCAAGTGTTGCAGTTGATGAGCTACTATCGGAACTGCATTATTTGATTAATGCAGCTGTGCCTTTATCAAAGAAGCTGATCATAGATACTCTTGAAAAACACAATGTATGTGTTGACCCCCATGTGGTTGAAGAAGTGAGCAGCACATTACCTTCGAATCCATTGTTAAAGGCTATATCAAATGAAGGTCAACTTGCTACTTCTTACAAACGCAAACGGTTCTACAAAAAACACTTTAATGTGATTGAACCGGTAGAATACATACTTGACCCTCAAACCAAACGCTCTTTCCAGTATGTTCCAGTGCTACAATCATTACAGCAATTACTTCTCCAAAAACACATTCTCCAAGACATTGTTAATGGCCACCATGAACATCATTTGGGAAACGATAAACGATACAGGTCCTTTCGAGATGGTCTACATTTCCTCAACAATGAATTCCTCATTGGGGAAGACTTAAAAATCTCTTTGTGCCTATACATCGACGACTTTGAAGTCTGCAATCCGTTGGGCACGTCGCGAAAAAAGCATAAACTTTGCTCTGTATATTGGATCATTGGAAATCTCCCCCCAGGAAGTCATTCGGCACTATCGTCAATATATTTAGCCTTGTTGTGCAAAAGTGATGACCTCAAGACATTTGGATATCAAAAAATATTTGAGCCTCTTTTGAAGGATCTTGTTGTATTTGAGAAGCAGGGAGTTTTTATTAATCACCTAGGGAGATATGTACAAGGGACTGTACAGTATGTAGTTGCCGACAGCCTGGGTGCTCATGGACTTGCAGGCTATGTTGAAAGTTTTTCTGGGGAATACTTTTGCCGCTTCTGTACAGCTTCTCGCACAGAAATTGAGTCTCCAGAAAGTAACATAAATGACTTCACACTGAGAACGGAGGAGCTCCATCGTGAGCATGTCGCTGAAGTTGTGTCTTGGCTGACAGTCTGAGTTTTTTTAGGGTCACTGAAGGATTCCCACCAGATCTCGCCCATGATCTATTTGAAGGCATTGTGCCATTTGAATTAGCAGAGTGCTTAAAAATACTGATAGGAAAAAAGTATTTCACTCTTGACAGTTTAAATCGGCTAATTCAGTCCTTTCCTTACAAATGGAGTGACCAAACAAATCGTCCTCAGAAACTACCACACACTCTTTTACAGAAAAAAACAGTGGGTGGAAATGCCCACGAGAATTGGTGTTTGTTAAGGTTATTGCCACTAATCATTGGACATCTTATTCCTGAGGATGAACCTGCATGGCACCTGCTCCTTGATCTGAAAGATATTGTTGAGCTGGTTGTTTGCCCAGTCCACACAGATGACACTATTGCCTTTCTGCAAAGTAAGATTTCGGATCACAGTCAAAGATTCAATGAAGTCTTTCCCGATAAACGACAGCTGCCAAAACATCATTTTGTCTCTCATTATCCTTCCCTGATTCGTCTGTTTGGCCCTCTTGCCTTGTTGTGGACCATAAGATTCGAGTCCAAGCACACATTTTTCAAAAATGTTGCCAGACATACAAACTGCTTTCGGAACATACCCCTGTCTTTGGCCAGCAAACATCAAGTCATGATTGGACATTATTTGCATTTATCTGGTAAAAAATCATCTCTGCAAGTTTCACATGCCACACCAGTGCCTGTTGAAGTCCTCAAAGACGATATTAGAGTTTGCTTTGCTCAAAAATACCCGGACATTGCTACAGTTCATTTTGCCCAAAATGTTACAGTTGATAGTGTTGACTACAAAAAGGGAATGATTCTTGCTTACGGATCCCTGTCTGGCCTTCCACAGTTTGCTGAAATAGTTCAACTGTGTGTTTTGGTAGACAAGTTGGTGCTTGTTGTTAAGGGAAGAAGGTCATGGTACATTGAGCACTTCAGATCGTACCATCTGGATCGTCCAGAAAGGGACCTCAACCTAATCGAAATAAGTGACCTACTGGATCGATATCCGCTCTGTGAATACAAAGTGGGACCATGGCGCATGGTTACACTTAAAAGATTCATCCACTGTTGAGGTAAATTTCTCTTGCTTTCTGTGATGTCTAAGAATTGGCGAATCTTATGTGTGTCTTATAACCTACCCTTTAAATGTAATTTTATGTCTTGACTTGAAGCTATCCTGAAGAATTCAAACTGATATTTAAAAATAAAAATCAGATCGGATTCTCAAAGATTAAATTTGAAGTCTGTATTCTTCTATTAATAATATAATTTTTTTTTTTCAGAATTTGGGCACCATGTCAGACCCAGCAAAACTTCTGGTAGTCTTCGATGACAACAATGCAGTCAAACTAACTTTTCCATCTGGGATACCAAAGTCAATGGAAGAGCTTAAGCTGCACATCCAGAATGAATGTTCCTTAAGTGGGGATTTTCGACTCCAATACATGGACACTGACTTTAATGCCTTCTTGAATTTGCAATCAACTGGTGAACTGAAAAACCTGGACAAAGTCAAAGTAATTGGTGCAAGTGTCCCTGAGCCTGCTTCACCATCGCCTCTGAGAGCCAGTTCATTTTGTAGTTCCAACTCAAGTCCTGGCTCCTGCAGATTCTCTGTTGACACAGATATACTTTCCTCTTCAGAAGCTGGTTCCTCTCGTTCATCTCCCTCCAGTCTGAGAGCTGATCCTTGGCCTGCCCTTTTCCCTTTGCCCACTTTTAGTTATGCCTCTGATTTGCTCCTGAAAAAAGCCAATGATGAATTTGTGAAAACTGGAGCTCTTTTCACCCCTCCACATAAACTGAAAAGTGACATAATGCAAAGCTTAGCTTCTGCCATCCTTAAGTACAAACCATACCCTACTGATTCGGAATTTGATACTGTCTGCAAAGCACTCATTGGTACATATCCATTCTTAAGAGAGCAAGGCTCTGAGAGTGGTTTCTCTGCCTGGAAAATAACTTTAAAACAAAAAATGGGCAACTATCGAAGCAGCCTGAGAAATATAGGATGCCGTGAGCTACAGATAAATTCCCTTAAACATAGAAGCGAAGGCAATATCCGTCCAAATCAAGTGAAAAAGGCACGACGAGCTGAAGTCAACTTCTGCCCAGATTATCCAACTGGAGAAAGTCGTGAAAGTCAGGAGGTGGATAGAGTGTCCCTTCTCTCTGAAGAAAAGAAAAGAAATAATGACGAGCTGATCAAAACATTGATGGACAAGACTTTTCCACACAGGAGACAAGAGATTCTGCAAGACATGCCTTTCATCGCAGATTTTAAAAGTCGATGGCCAGCTCTCTTTTCAAATCGAGAGGTAAGTCCATGTTGGTTTGTAATTATAACTAGAAACCGCCATTGTGAGTTTTAAAATGTTTGAAAAAGAGTCCTAAAGTATTGAATCTAATGTTACAACTAATACATCATTTCACTATTACCATCTATTACACAATTGGTTATACATTTTTGTTGTTTGACAATAAAATATAGATTTAATAAAATGACTCGCCCATTCTGTAAGGGATGATATTATATAATATAAAAGGTTTTGTTTTATGTTGTAGATAAATGCAGAATTCAGACGAATCACCACAACATCCTTGACGTCGAAGTTTATGTCCCAGTTGGATGAGTACGCCCCTAAACTAATCCAAATCTACAGGAAGAAAGGAGGACAACTTGGCCACAAAATCACCGAAATCATGGAAGGAATTGCAGAGGTTTGTAATTTTGAATGACAACTAAACACCAAATCAACTTTTTATCTTACAAACGAGTTGGGAGTATTCTGATCTGTTAGTTTATAATATTACTTTTATTGTCATATAATTCTGTGGCTTAGGTTTAGCTGTGTAGCTCTACAATTATCATAGTGTGTAAACAAGGGTGGAACGAGAATGTCAAGTGCGTAAACTATTGCTTCAAGCAGCAATTACAACTGTGTTTTTATTATTTTGTTTGGGCTGTGATTGACAGCTCGCTTATACTAATTTATTCTTGTATAGCCCTAAATCATATCAGAAGTCATCTCAGAGACTTAACAAAACCATTGAAATCACCAACACAAATCAGAAAATCAACAGCGAAAACACCAAAAGAATATGGAAAAAATTTCATACACGCTTGTCAGAAAAAGCCCCCCCATTGTCCCGTGGTCCTCCAGGCAACGCCTTTTTTAGAGAATTTTCACATTTCCATGTGGGCGGAGTAAGGCTGGGCACAAGTGTTTAGTCTTTTAAAGTTGATAACGTGGGGCCAACGTTAAAATATCTGGCCAATAAGGCTCTGTGTCAGAAAATGCTGTCTAAAATAGAAGGATGTGTAAATTTAAGTTGTAATTATTCTTTTAGTTGGTTTATGTTATCATGCAATTACATTGTCATAAAATATTTTAAATCTACATAAACTATTTTCCCCTGTTCAGGGAGACTCCATTGACACTAGGAGATGTGGCACCCTGAAGGCCCTTGCTGTGTATCTAAATGAAGACCCAACCAACCTCATAAAAGAATATGTGGTAAGTTCAAACTGAATATATATGCGTCTTTTAATTTTTTTTTTCTCTTGATATTTGCTTTTTCTTTAACTCGTTGTGTGCCATTGACATATTAATGCGTCAAATGCTGTTTCCGCTATTTTCCTTTTCCCATATGGGGATTAGGTTTAGACCATGTTTTATCAAGCAGGTGGCAGCAGCGCTGTTTCTGGATGTTTTGAAAACAAGATGCAGTTGTGCCTCTTTTTTTCTCAGCTTTTTGTCTGAGACTGGTGATGTCAGTAAAACGTCCCTCTACTCGACTGGGGATTACAGGGGAACAAAACAAGCTAGAAACAAAATTATTTTTGCTGATGAAAGTAGACAGTCCATTCTTTCAGAATCTGGTTGGTTTGGATTTCAGATGCGTAGGTTTCCTCCGGGTTCTCCGGTTTCCCCTACCACTAAAAATATGTACAATAGGTCTTGCATGCGCCTCCTGTTCGGCGACCCCGCTCCCATCTCTGTGTGGAGTGAGAGGACAAGTGCCCAAAAAATAACAATTGTAAACCGCTTTGTGACTCTGGTCTGTGAAAGGCGCTATATAAATATAGCTTACTTACTTACTACTTACTTAGATCCAAACCAACCAGATTCTGTGGGTCTTGAAAAATTAATACAAATCATCAGAAACTGCTGGCACTACGGGAGTACCTGTTCTGAAATAGGCTGGCACACACGCAAAAACCAGGCCAGAGGAGCTTTATATTTTATTTATTTTTTATCTTTTTAACCTCATTAAGATCGACTTGATCAGAGTTCTTTGAGAAAGCTTATTATTGATTCCAGAACAAAGATTGCTTGTTAGGATATTTGTAGGTTAATTGAGGAGCTCTGAAATTTTTCTAATTCTTTCTGTACGATAGGAGAATGCTTTTCCCCTAATTTCAGGATTAGGCCCAGTTTGTCGGGTGGTATTCTGGAAATGTGATATTATCGTAGGTGGTACTTAAGAAAATGTCACATTTTAGTACTTATATGAACTTAAAACCATTAGTCGGTTGTTTTAATGTACAGCAGAAGTAATGCCACAATTTGACCAGTTGACTGCGAAAGTTCTTTGACAATATTAAGGACCTTGATAAGCTTACCTGATATCTATTGGAAAATGAATACGTTTAACTTATTGGAAATGGAATTTATTACATTATGATTTTATTTTTGGGTCCTTGTTTAGAATGTGGATTCCTGTGATGCCCAGGAGCAAATGTCAAAGACTGTGATTGGCATTTATGCCAACTTGTCCGATGACGTCACTCCAGAGGATGTGGGAATCATCATTGAGGGAGTGAAGCAATCTAAGATGGCGGACATACAGTCCACAAATTGTGTAAAAAGTTTCAATATGAACAAATTAAGACACGGATGTCACTTTTAATGCAATTTGAAGCGAGATGTTGATGCTTCTTTGTTACATGTGGGTTTTTAGAGTAAAAGTTTTGTGTAAAATTTGTTTTAAGTAGTATCTGGTCCTGTGAAACCACACTGCTGCTGTGTGATGGCAGTACCTTTCCTGTCGAGTTGAGCTGCGGTCTACGTCTTTAAAATGACGTATGTCGTATAACATGAAACCATCAACATCTCGCTTCAAATTGCATTAAAAGTGACATCCGTGTCTTAATTCGTTCATATTGAAACTTTTTACACAATTTGCGGACTGTATGTCCGCCATCTTAGATTGCTTCAGCTGTCGTGAAAAGCGCATGTGCAGGTTTGCATTACTTCATAAACAGCTGAGGCAGCTCAACTCAACACCGGCCTCCAGGGGCAGTGTAGAGGAATGTCTTTTTTTTTTTTCAATGTTGTATTTTGCCAGCTACAAACACCGCCATGTGATTTGTCAAGAACATAATTTAACTTGAGAAATGGACAAAACTAATTTATGGGCAATAATTGTGTATTAAAAGGTCGAAAAATGCTGTGTGCATTGACAAATGTACGGCGGCACGGTGGCTGAGTGGATAGCACTCTCGCCTCTCAGCAAGAAGGTCCTGGGTTCGAATCCCGGTCGGACCAGGGCCTTTCTGAGTGGAGTTTGCATGTTCTCCCCGTGTCTGCGTAGGTTTCCTCCGGCTACTCCGGTTTCCCCTACCACTAAAAATATGTCCAATAGTTCTAGCATGCGCCTCCTGTTCGGCGACCCCGCTCCCATCTCTGTGTGGAGTGAGAGACAAATGCCCATAATTAACAATTGTAAACCGCTTTGAGACTCAGATCTGCAGTGAAAAGGCGGTATATAAATAAAGATTACTTACTTACTTACTTACAAATGTGATGTCTAAATGGCATCACATTTATTCATTATATTGTACATACATCTAATAAAAGTAAACTAAGTAAAATAAAACAAATACAAAGGACTTATAGGAACTGAGATGGGAGCTTTTAAATAGGGGGGAGGTGCCCATTCGTCTTTTTTTTTTAATGAGGGGACCCTGGTGCAACATGGTAAAAAGCTATAGGAAATGTTTTATGCAAATAGACTCTTCCCTCATCAAAAACAAGCTAAAAATGATGTCAAGTTTTGAAATGGCACGTGGCCTGGTTTGCAACTGGTGATCTTCAAATTTTAGAAAAAAAACCCATTGTACTCCTCCCTATGGTGATGTTTTTGATTTATTTTACATTATAAAGCGTGAGATTAGGTCTTGTTCTTTTTAATGGCCAAATATAATGTATATTTAAATGTCTGGTTTAGCTGCTCTTTGCGAAGCAATTATGGGGCAGCTGCTTCATAAGCTTAACTTTGCACAATATCATACGTTTTGGTAACATTTTAGAAATTTGAATCAAAATGCTTTTGCCTTAAAGTTCTGCACAAGAGTTTATTGTAATTGAATATGTATTGCACTTTTTTTGTTTGTTAAAAGTGAACGTCTGTTTCCCAATTGTTTAAATATTACCACCTTGGAAAAAAGGCAATTAAAATCCTCACAAATTGGTCCAGCTCTTATAAAACGTAATGTATTCATGTTCTAAAACTGCTAAATAAATGCAGATTGTGGTTTAAAACATTTATGCTGTTTTTTCGTTTCTTGGAAACATGTACATTGTGTAAGGATTACTTAACAATTTTGCATCAAGCGGTTGCATGTAACTGTCTTGAGTAAATATTAAGGGGTTTTATTCATAATATTCAGTTAAAGAACTAGTGTTGTTTCTATGTAACTACATTACATAGAGGTTACTTAAGAACCTTTGAGTTTGGTGTAGGAAGCAATGTCTTAACATTTATGTAAGCATGTTGAGTACATTTTATAAGATATTTTATATAGGTATTACAAAATGTATTTGAGTATCTAACACTTAATAAAGTTGGGTAGTAACTACATAATGCAACTACACTATATATATTTAATAAATCTACATAAATCCTATTAAAGTATGCTAAGTACATTATATGTAAGCATTCTTATTAACAATTACTCAATGTGGTTGCATGCAACCGCTTGACGCAAAGCTTTTGAGTAAATCGGACGATTTATTTTTTTGAGTGCAGTCTATGGTCTTATATTTACAGTCTATGGTTTTATATTTACAGTCTATGGTCTTATATTTACAGTCTATGGTCTTATATTTACAGTCTATGGTCTTAACACATTGTACTCATTACATTTCATACATGTAGGGAAATAATAATTGAGCAGAGTTTACGGATGGCTAAAGCTAACAGGCTAACAGGGATTTTAACAGGGAGAAATGACTCGTTTCATTTTAATGATCAATCTACAAGGCTGAACACATAAGAAAGTTGTAGTTCTGAAGTTTCGTCTGTGAGCAGTGCATTGCAACACATCTTGTCATCTCAAATATCCACCTATTTAGTGCGATAAACAGACGTACAAAATGTAAACAGGTGCGATAGCATTGAGGAGATGTACTTCCGAATCAGACCGGTGCCCGCCGTGACGTCACTGAGGGAGAAGCGTATGATTTTTTTTATTTCTAAGGACGTTGCTATGGTCTTTAATAAAAACAAATGATGTTGAATCCTAGTTCTCTTTTAAAATAAAATGGTTATAAAACTTTATTTCCAAATCGATGTGCTCGGGGGATTCTCGCGGTACTGCAGACTAAACCAGACTAAATTCACGTGGGATGCTCAGAAATGTTCCCCATAGAACTCAATGTAAACCAAAACCGCTCGACCTCAGCTGACAGAGAACCTGACAGAGAACCTACAGCGTTCATAAAGTTTGTTTTTGTGGGAATGTTAGTGTCCAATGTCAACCTGAACTTCTTTTCTTCTTAACCCTTTAGGCGCCAGAGTTTTTTCAAGAAAATATACAATTTTGATTTCAAGATTTCAAAAGGCTGTAACTTTAAAATTGTTTGAGATAAAGGCATACTGTAAATTTGAAATATCTTCAGTTTGAACCAAACGTTGAGATGGAAGTTCATTCGTCATCTAATTTGCCTATTGTGACGTCATCAAGGTGGCGGCCATTTTGGAAAATGTTAATTATTGTATAAAGACTTCAAAAAGCTGTAGTTTGGGAGTGTTTTGAGATCAGGGAAATATCTATAGTATGAAATGAATTTGGGATAGAAATAAATTCCCTGATCACAGATTATAGATAAGTGTTGGGGGGGGCGGGGGTTGCGGGTTAGCAGGGCATTTATGATGGGGGTCGCGGGCTAAAAACTTTGGGAACCCCTGCCCTAGACCATATACACCCAGGACCATCTACCCTAGACCACATACACACCCAGGACCATCTACCCTAGACCATATACACCCAGGACCATGTACCCTAGACCATATACACCCAGGACCATGTACCCTAGACCATATACACCCAGGACCATCTACCCAAGACCATATACACAGGAGCATGTACCCTAGACCACATACACAGGACCATCTACCCTAGACCACATACACAGGACCATGTACCCTAGACCACATACACAGGACCATGTACCCTAGACCACATACACAGGACCATGTACCCTAGACCATATACACAGGACCATCTACCCTAGACCACATACACAGGACCATGTACCCTAGACCACATACACAGGACCATCTACCCTAGACCGCATACACAGGACCATGTACCCTAGACCACATACACAGGACCATGTACCCTAGACCACATACACAGGACCATGTACCCTAGACCACATATACAGGACCATGTACCCTAGACCATATACAGAGAATCAAAATAAAACACATTTATTACAATAACATTATTTATAATGTAATGTGTGAATACCATGGATAAAAAGTGTCGTATCGTTGTAGTAATTATGCTGAAGAGCTCATTATGGGTCTATCTGGAGGAAAGTGTGTGTTTGGTCTGTAAAGCTCAGCAGCTGCAAAAATTCGATAGAAATGAAACTGAAGCGCAAATTCAGACAGAAAGACCGGCCACAGCTCTCACCCGTCCAGAGCCAGCCAATCACAGAGCTCTGCCAGCCTGGAGCCTCAGCCAATCACACAGCCATGACAGCCTGGAGCTTCAGCCAATCACACAGCCATGACAGCCTGGAGCTTCAGCCAATCACAGAGCTCTGTAAGTAATTAGTAAGTAAGTAATCTTTATTTACTTACTGGCTCTGCCAGCCTCCTGCCAAAGCTCTGCCCCTCTGAACATGGCTATGGGAGATGATGAACTATAATATTAACAGGTGCATCATGGGTAATGTAGTGACAGACTTTTAACAGTCATGTTTGGGCCACAATTCAATGTTATTGTGATTCTTAACATATTGTGATACAGTTTTTTGATTCTGTGATTGATTGTGATTCATGTTCCTCATATTATTCAAAGACTTTACAAACATGGAGGAAAATAAGACTCAACTCAAATGTAATTTATTATGGTCTCTACTTGAACTGAAACAAACAATAAGGAGGGAGGAGCAAAAAACTTGATCCTTGAACAATCAGGACACAGGAACTTATTACAAACAGAGGAACAACAAGCAGACATCATAGAGAAACAGAAAGCTCAAACTGGAAAGTCAAACAGATATTAATTTAATTAAACATATCATTTCCCCCATTGGAGCTATTAAATTGTGAGACCAAAATATTGATATTGAACAGAATGGATTCTTTCCCCAAAGCACGAGTTAAGATTAGAGTGAGATCCTGTAGAGTCTGACTCTGGGTTCACGTGTTGCAGCCTCAGCTCTGTCTCCTTCGCTTTGTTTGTGCGTCTTCAGACCTGCTTCTCTACAGGTTTTAATGTGTTTAGTAAGAGATGACCTACGAGTAAAAGACTTTCCACACTTTTCACAGACAAATGGTTTCTCTCCAGTGTGGATCCTCTTATGCTTTTTAAGATTACTACTGTGAGAAAAACTCTGATCACAATCGTCGCAGCTGAAGGGTTTCTCTCCAGTGTGGATTATTTTGTGCTTGTTAAGATTTCCTCTCATGGAAAAACATGTTCCACACTGGTCACACTCGTACGGCTTCTCTCCAGTGTGGCTCCGATGGTGAACTGTGCGATGTGTTGCTGTTTGCTGTGTTAAAAGTTTTACTGCAGAAGTCACATGCAAATGGATTTTCTCCAGTGTGGATTCTTTCATGTGCTTTGTAGCTGGAAGACTGAGTAAAGCTCTTCCCACAGTCTCCACAGACGAATGGTTTATCTCCAGTGTGGATTCTGTAGTGCTCAGTGAGGGCAGATGATTGTATGAAAGTCTTTTCACACTGGTCACATTGGTGAGGTCTCTCTCCTGTGTGGACATGCTGATGTCGTGAGAGCAGCTGTTTGGTCCTAAATGTTTTTTCACACTGGTCACACTCAAATGGTTTCTCTCCTGTGTGGATCCTCTGATGATCTTTGAGAGTATTCTCATGTCTAAAACTCTGATCACAATCGTCACAGCTGAAGGGTTTTTCTCCAGTGTGGATTCTGTTGTGGACCTTGAGGTCTCTTTTTGTAGAAAAACATGTTCCACACAGATCACACTCGTATGGTTTTCCTCCAGTGTGAGTTCTGTGGTGGGTCTTTAGATCAGAAGCAGAGCTGCAGGTCTTTCCACACTGATCACAGGTGAACCCCATTCTGTAGATGGACTTTGTAGATCTGCAACAAACACAACAAACAACCCAACAAACACAATTAATTATAATATGTTTTGACATTGATGGTGGTAAAAGTGAGAAATGAGTCATGACAGTTATCTTTCAACATCAAACATTGTGTTCTACAATTAAAGCTGGTTTCTCCCAACCCGTGGACTACACCCCACACCCCTGTATAGGAGCCATTTCTACAGCCTCAGTCCTGGGTCTAAAGCCTCAGTCCTGGGTCTACAGCCTCTGTCCTTGGTCTACAACCTCTGTCCTTGGTCTACAACCTCAGTCCTGGGTCTACAGTATATCTGGTCTTCATAGCCACCTTTAGTCCTGGTGTAGCGCCTGTTTTGGCTGATTAGGAGTATGTTCAGTCTGCTCACTCAGACCATTAATGTCCCTGTGACCACTTTGCGGCTCTCTGATTGGTCGCTGCACGAGCGTCCGAGGAAACGCTCAGCAAAATGTTTATCTCCTGCATGCGTCGATTTTCCACTCCTGCGTCTCTACCGCGCAGTCCATGCGTGCGTCCCGAAACGCATATGCAATTCTACGCTCGAACGTGCGTCATCATTGACTTTGCATTGAAAGTCGACGCAGCATGATCCGGTGTGAAAGCACCATTACGCTCCCTCTGCCCCTCCACAGACCCCACATTAACCTCCCTCTGCCCCTCCACAAACCCCACATTAACCCTCCCTCTGCCCCTCCACAAACCCCACATTAACCCTCCCTCTGCCCCTCCACAGACCCGCATTAACCTCCCTCTGCCCCTCCACAAACCCCACATTAACCCTCCCTCTGCCCCTCCACAGACCCGCATTAACCTCCCTCTGCCCCTCCACAGACCCCACATTAACCCTCCCTCTACCCCTCCACAGACCCCACATTAACCCTCCCGCTACCCCTCCACAGACCCCACATTAACCCTCCCGCTACCCCTCCACAGACCCCACATTAACCCTCCCTCTGCCCCTCCACAGACCCCACATTAACCCTCCCGCTACCCCTCCACAAACCCCACATTAACCCTCCCTCTGCCCCTCCACAGACCCCACATTAACCCTCCCGCTACCCCTCCACAAACCCCACATTAACCCTCCCTCTGCCCCTCCACAGACCCCACATTAACCCTCCCTCTGCCCCTCCACAGACCCCACATTAACCCTCCCTCTGCCCCTCCACAGACCCCACATTAACCCTCCCTCTGCCCCTCCACAGACCCAACATTAACCCTCCCTCTGCCCCTCCACAGACCCCACATTAACCCTCCCTCTGCCCCTCCACAGACCCAACATTAACCCTCCCTCTGCCCCTCCACAGACCCCACATTAACCCTCCCTCTGCCCCTCCACAGACCCCACATTAACCCTCCCTCTGCCCCTCCACAGACCCCACATTAACCCACACATGAAGATATTGATGAACTACATTTGGGGCAAAAAAAAAATTCACTGGATTTTTTAGGCCTTGGCCTAAAAAATGGCCATGCAAACACTGAAGGCATGAAAAAGTGACAAACAAGACAAATGTGGGGTCAGCGGGATTCCTCTCCCTGAGAATTGCTGGGATTTGAAATAAAAATAAAGCAATCTGGGAGATCACGTGATGCAGTGGAGCGAAGAGGACGCTAGTCGGGAGGCTCTCTGACATTTTATCCTAAAAACACTTTCAACACTTTTGGAACGCCTGAATTTGCATCAGTCCTTTTTGATGTCCCGCAAAATGACCACGAGATCTAAGACTAAAAGCAAGGTAACTCGACAGGTATGCCGTCTTTGCCGTGTGAAGAAGAAAATGCAAGTGAAGAGGCTAACGAGATGGCGTCGGATCATGCTGCGCTATCAACTGTGGACGTGGCCCTTGCACTTCAGGAGATACGGCAGGGGAATCAAGCCCTCTCTCACAGGATGGACATACGGACGGCGGAGATGAATGAGTCTATATCTGGACTGACGGGCATGCTTGATGGGCTGACATCTTGCGTCACCGATGTGGAGGACCGTATCGGGGCAGCGGAGGATCAGCTAGCTGATATGAGCGCCGAGCTGCAGAAGCTAATCAAAGACAACACGTTCTTACTGGATAAAGTTGAATCGCTCGAGAACTACAGCAGGCGTAATAACATTCGGATCGTAAATCTACGTGAAGGCTGTGAAGGATCTGACCCGGTTTCATTTTTTGCAAACTGGCTGCCAAATATATTGGGCCGCGACTACTTCGCTAAACCTCTGGTGATAGAACGAGCGCATCGGACCCTCGCCCCGAAGCCATCCGCAGGCGAGAAGCCGAGAGCAGTACTGATACGCTTCCTGAGTTATTGGAATCGAGAGAATGTACTTGGTATCGTTGCCAATCTGACCCAGGCAAATAAAAGTCCCATCTTGTTCGAGGTAGGGCTGCAACGATTAGTCGACGTTGTGGACAAAAATCGATAATAGAAATAGTCAACAATGAATTCCATTGTCGACTATTGTCGGCAGACGTGTTTTCCCCGACAGAGTGAGGCCTCCCTATCTCACAAACAATCCCTGCCGAGAGTCGCACATGCGCAAGAGCGTCTATCGAGCGTAAACAATAAAGGCGGCGTCCATCAGCTTCATGGATCTATTATAATAACGTTCAGCTCCACGTAGAAAAACTTCTAAAGTTTGGGAGCATTGTGGTCTGGATACGGCAAATAAAAAGTTTACTTGCAAGGTTTGCAAAGCAGACATTGCGTATCACGGCAGCACCTCGGTGTTACACGAACATTGGAAGACAAAGCATGTGTTACGCCTTTCCTGTTTTAAGCCCCTGGACTGAGGTCGAGGGGCGCAGGGGAGATTCGTTCGTCCGGGGCGTAGTTCCTTCTAATTTGACCCTCACTGTCAAAAGCGTGATGCGGATTTAATGACACTCCGGACTGTTGCTCAAGAGTGGACTTTATTGTTACTGTGAATATTTAATTATTTTCTGCCTGCTAAAATGTCATGTTAAACAGTTCAATAAGAGTTCACTTGTACTTTGAACTGCTTACAGAAGCATGGAAACAGATAAGACAGAACAAACAGTGAACATGTGCAGTATGGATGGTGTACGTTGGAGTTTGCTCCATTACAAAACAGTTATATCACAGTTGTAATGTTGTAAATTATCCAAAAAATTTTGTTCCACTTCACTGATTGTGTCCCACTTGTTGTTGATCATGCCAAAAATGAAAATTTATATCTATTATGTTTGAATCCTGAAAATGTGTGCAAAATGTTGAAAGGTTGACGGGGGCGATTATTTCGCAAGGCACTGTATAGTGCAGCCGGTTTGACCATAGTCTTTTTTTATGGACGTCCCGACGGACAGCAGCCCAACGCGCGTCAGCGGAGACGCGCCCGGTGGAGTCCAGGCCTCAGTTTAAGCCTAGTGATATACTTGCGCGGCGTGGCATACGTTAGCGGTTGCGGTGGACCTACGTAAGCACAATTGATGTTATACTGGCGGTTCCCCTTACGGAGTTTTGAGGAGAATGTTGTAATCCCACAAACAAACCACATGAGGGGCGATCACACAGGACCGGTTCCCATTTACCGTCTGCTACTATTGTCCTCTTTCAGAACAATAATAACAAACAAATAGCTGTTTGAGCTCATGTACACGCTGTTTCCAACTGTAGGTTTATGTGATAGTTTTTAGGGATTTCATTATTTATTATAAGTCATTTCAAACTGTGAATGCTGAATAAAGACACAGTCTCTGTTGGAAAAACATAGTTTATTATTAAATAGTTGTATCAGACACAAACAGCAAAACAATAATAGTGTGTAAATATCTGAGACAAACATGAACGATTTACGAGTGTTATATATGTTAGATTATAAGTATATATATGTTAGATATACGTATATATATGTTAGATATAAGATATATATATGTTAGATATAATTTTATATATGTTAGATATAAGTTATATATATATATATACTTAAGTATATATATTAATATATATTATTATATATAAAGTGATCACAATTGGCATTACATTTTTTCTTTTTACAAATTTAGCAAAATATCCTGCGGTTCTGGTGTAAAGCAGCAAAGATGTTGACAAACTCATCCATATTGGCCCTGAGCTCCTTGACTCTACATGTGGATACAAGACGCCTCAATAATCTGCCATAAGTTTGAGGATGGTTTTTAATAAGTTTTAGGGCAGAGAAACTTATTTAACAAGACGCAGAACTGACAGGGTATTTAAAACATCTTTGCCAGACTCAAAAGCTCATGAACCTTTTTAACGTTCCAAAAAGACAAGGAAGTCGAATAGGGACTCTCTAATCCATTTTTTCTCCAAGATGCCGCCTAGTTTGAGTTCTTCATTGCTTAGGTCCTCTATATCTGGCTCAAAAGGTTCTGCCAAATGAAAACCAGGGGCTCTTCTTTAAAAAATAGTTTGGGGTTAAGCGACTGCACATATCCATCGCATTTTTTTTCTTTTTTTGAGTTTGTTGAAAAAACGCTTCCGCCAATAGGACATCATGCACCAGTCTTGCGACACCCTCTCATTTCTGAAACTCATTTATAGCTATATTTTAATACAACACAACAAATTCCTCATCATCTCAAAACATACTGCCTCGAGTCTGACCTTCAGCTGATCTAACAGCCTTTCCTAACAAAAAAAGGCCTGTAGGCATGTTTCCTCCTTTTCGTTTTCTGTTTACACTAAAGGGAAGGGAGGGCCGTGATACGATGGGCAATTAATAATGGAGATACACCACGCATGCACACCCGCACACTGGCACACACAGGCACGGACACACCACACTGGCACACTCAGACACACTTGGCACACAGTCACGCACACACACACTGGCACCCGCAGACCACATGGCAACACAGGCACGCACCCTGTAAAATACGGAAATAATTTATTTAGTTAGTTTTGCCTTGAAACAACACACTAAACATGAAGTAAATCAATCACTTCAAAGAAACAGTTTTGCGTTCTGTCAAATTGAATTGAATATTCTTTATTACTTAGATAGATACATAGATATATAAATTGAAAGATAGATGGAGAAATCCAGGTGTCCGGCAGCAGAAACACATCCATACAAACAAATAAATAAATACATAATTCTCAAAGTTACTAATAGTAAAAAGGTGCAACAGCAGCAGAGGTGGTGTATACAGAGTCAGTTTGGTTCGGACCATAGAATTATCATTCTTCCAGTGGATTTCAGCTTGATCTGCTTGGTTTGGACCATCTCTGTGCTCTGGTCTGGATCACTGTAAAAACCATGAACACTGTGCTGCACTAACATTTACAGCCAGAAAGTTTTACAACAAATGATTACATTAAAGAAGCTATACCCAATTTTTTTCTAATGAGTTTATAAAAATGCTTATTACTACATACAAGTTGTATTATAATCTGTAATTTCATTGAAAACTTGAGCTCATTGATTCAGCTGAGCAGGCCCTGTGCGAACTTGAAACGCGAGGCCCTGCCCTGACACTTTTTTCCCAGATCTGAGGAAAGTTTTCCCTGTTATAATCTTTGACATGAATTAAGAGATCAGCACGCGCGCAGCTCCAATGCAGCGTTGGGCGCACACACACGCACATGCACACGCACGTACGCACACACACGGCGCTTGGCATTGCGATATTGGGATATTGGTCGCGGTCCTTTTGGCTGTCATGGCTCTTTCGTCCAGTAGCAAAATGGCAGCAACTCAAAAGATTGAACAAAAGGAGTCTTTTTCTATTTCGGCAAAAATGGCAATGAGGCGGAGTCAAAATTTGTTTTTTTCTTCTCATCAAATAACGTTTTTGCCATGCCTCCACACTCTGACAACAACATACGCTCCTTCTCCTTCACACACTCTGACCACAACAAGGCGTTTTATGCCCAAAATCCAGTGGGCGCTAAAGCTGGACATACAGTGTGTTTGCTAACACTTTTAAAAATATGTTTTTGATGTGGATATTCGAACTAAACATTGGCAATAGCAGCGCTCACACACCTGTCACACCGCTGATCCTCCTCCTCCTCCTCCTCTGCTCACACCTGTCACACCGCTGATCCTCCTCCTCCTCCTCCTCTGCTCACACCTGTCTCGCTCCTCCTCCTCCTCCTCCTCTGCTCACACCTGTCTCGCTGCTCCTCCTCCTCCTCTGCTCACACCTGTCTCGCTCCTCCTCCTCCTCCTCCTCTGCTCACACCTGTCTCGCTGCTCCTCCTCCTCCTCCTCTGCTCACACCTGTCTCGCTCCTCCTCCTCCTCCTCCTCTGCTCACACCTGTCTCGCTCCTCCTCCTCCTCCTCCTCTGCTCACACCTGTCACACCGCTGATCCTCCTCCTCCTCTGCTCACACCTGTCTCGCTGCTCCTCCTCCTCCTCTGCTCACACCTGTCTCGCTCCTCCTCCTCCTTCTCTGCTCACACCTGTCTCGCTGCTCCTCCTCCTCCTCTGCTCACACCTGTCTCGCTCCTCCTCCTCTTCCTCTGCTCACACCTGTCTCGCTGCTCCTCCTCCTCCTCTGCTCACACCTGTCTCGCTGCTCCTCCTCCTCCTCCTCTGCTCACACCTGTCTCGCTGCTCCTCCGCCTCCTCTGCTCACACCTGTCTCGCTCCTCCTCCTCCTCCTCCTCTGCTCACACCTGTCTCGCTGCTCCTCCTCCTCCTCCTCTGCTCACACCTGTCTCGCTGCTCCTCCTCCTCCTCTGCTCACACCTGTCTCGCTCCTCCTCCTCCTCCTTCTCTGCTCACACCTGTCTCGCTGCTCCTCCTCCTCCTCTGCTCACACCTGTCTCGCTCCTCCTCCTCCTCCTCTGCTCACACCTGTCTCGCTGCTCCTCCTCCTCCTCTGCTCACACCTGTCTCGCTCCTCCTCCTCCTCCTCTGCTCACACCTGTCTCGCTGCTCCTCCTCCTCCTCTGCTCACACCTGTCTCGCTGCTCCTCCTCCTCCTCTGCTCACACCTGTCTCGCTGCTCCTCCTCCTCCTCCTCTGCTCACACCTGTCTCGCTGCTCCTCCTCCTCCTCCTCTGCTCACACCTGTCTCGCTGCTCCTCCTCCTCCTCTGCTCACACCTGTCTCGCTGCTCCTCCTCCTCCTCTGCTCACACCTGTCTCGCTGCTCCTCCTCCTCCTCTGCTCACACCTGTCTCGCTCCTCCTCCTCCTCCTCTGCTCACACCTGTCTCGCTGCTCCTCCTCCTCCTCTGCTCACACCTGTCTCGCTGCTCCTCCTCCTCCTCCTCTGCTCACACCTGTCTCGCTCCTCCTCCTCCTCTGCTCACACCTGTCTCGCTCCTCCTCCTCCTCCTCTGCTCACACCTGTCTCGCTCCTCCTCCTCCTCCTCCTCTGCTCACACCTGTCTCGCTCCTCCTCCTCCTCCTCTGCTCACACCTGTCTCGCTCCTCCTCCTCCTCCTCTGCTCACACCTGTCTCGCTC